TCTCAGATAATGGCACTGCCATCCTTCTGAGTGCTCCTGCGCCACACCCTAGCGATGCAGTTAATCTCCACCCCGCCAACCCCCTAACGCTTACTGGACAACCAATCTGTCAGCAAGTCCTGTGAGCTCCATATTCAAAATCTACCCAGACTGGCCAGGAGTGGTGGCGCACGCCTGTAATCCGAGCTACTCGAGAGGCTGAGGCAGGATAATCGCTTGTACCAGGAAAGCGGAGGTTGCAGTGAGCCAAGACCGTACCATTGCACTCCAGCCTGGGCTCAGAGCAAGACTTTGTCTCCAAAAAAAAAAAAAAAAATTCCACCCAGTTACAGAATCTGCCTCTGGTCCTATCCACCGCAGCAGCCTCCTGCCTGGGCTCCCTCCTGCCCCGCCAGCCTGTTCCTCACACCAGCCAGAGGGATCTGGGAACGTCTGGGTCAGATCAGGTCCCTCCTTGTCTCAGAGCACTCCCGTGGCTTCCTCTCACTCAGGGTAAACGCCAGAGTCCTTCCCATGCCCCAGGAGGACCTGTGCCATCTGCTCCTCTCCCTTTCCCTCGGGCTCACTCTGCTCCAGCCCCAGCTGCCTTCTCCTCCCGGGTCCTCACGCTTCCACCTCAGGGCCTTTGCACTGCCTGTGCCCTCTGCCTTCCCTTTCCACAGAAAGCCACTGGGGCCCAGGTGGCCTGGGTTCAAATCCCAGATCTCTCCTTCTCAGCCACTGACTCCAATCTCCCCGTGCCTCAGTTTCCCCGTCAGTAAGATGGGATAATGTAGTCCAGACCTCACATGGTTGTTGTGGGGATTAAATGAGTTGATCTATGGGGAAACGTTCTGTGGACATCACTATTAGGACTTAGCTGACTCCATTGCCTGACCATGGTCTCAGCTCCAATGTTACCTGTCCAGAAACACCTTCCCTGGTCACCCTCTTCACCAGCCTCACAGTCACTGTCATTGCATGAACTTGTTTCTTTGGTTCTCTGAAGATACTTCCTAGTTTATCTGCTCACTGTCTGTGTCCCTCCCCTCCCTCTAAGAGATAAGTTCTACAGGAGTGGGGACCTATCTGTCTCAATCACTGCTGAGTCCCCAGCACCAAGGACAGGGCCTGGTGCACAGCAGGTGCTCAGGAAATACTGCAGAAATGAATGGGAGAATAAATGAACTCTCTGGTTCCCATTTTGCACCAGGCATGGAGTTGGGTGGCTGGCAGTGCTTACTGGGCAGTGGGGACACAGACAGCACTAGCCAAGACAAACACCTCGTGGCCTCTATGTCTCCCCTGTACTTACTCCCCTCCCTCTGGGCCTGGGCCTGGATGCCTCTTCCTCCCTCCCACCTGTCCTTTCTGCCTCTGGGACATGTCTCTGGGAGCCTCACTCACAAGGGCAGGAACAGATCTATGCTGGTCCTCACTGTGCCTTCGATATCATCAGCACACACAGCGGGGCAGGCAGGGGTTCAAGGAATGCTTGTGGAATGAATGAGTGAATGATAAAGCAGATAGACACCCGGCTAAAGAGCTTGAGCCTCATCTAGAGGGCAATGGGAGTCATAGGAGGACTATAGGCAAAGGAAGAAACATCACATGTCTGTGTTGGGATTCTGCAGACACGAATTCCTGTCCTGCCAAGCCTTTGAGCATGCTGTTCTCTGGGCCTGCAGCTCACTTCCTCCTCTTTCTTTTATTTTTTTATTTTTATTTTTTTGAGATGGAGTCTCGCTCTGTCGCCCAGGCTGGAGTACAGTGGCGCGATCTCAGCTCACTGCAAGCTCTGCCTCTTGGGTTTACGCCATTCTCCTGCCTTAGGCTCCCGAGTAGCTGGGACTACAGGCCCCCGCCACCTCGCCAGGCTAGTTTTTTGTATTTTTTAGTAGAGACTGGGTTTCACCGTGTTAGCCAGGATGGTCTCGATCTCCTGACCTCGTGATCCGCCCATCTCGGCCTCCCAAAGTGCTGGGATTACAGGCTTGAGCCACCGCGCCCGGCCCACTTCCTCCTCTTTTTCTTGGCAACTTTCTTATGGGTTTCAAATTGGACATCTCTTTCTCTAGAAAACCCTCCCTGACCACTCCTGCTCCCCAGGTTGGGCCGGGAACCTCCTCTGGTTTCCCATCGCCCCCACTGACTTCCTCCATCCCGGCCCTGACCCCTCTGCCTGTGTCCCCCCCATCCCAGCCCTGACTCATCCACCTGTCTCTCTCTCATCCTGGCCCCAACCCCTCCGAGTGGGCCTCCCCATCCTGCCTGGACCCCTCCATACCATGAATGTCTAGTGAAACATCTCCTCCAACCTTAGGCTCATTGTGGCTGGCTATCTTGGCCATCACTAGGCCCCTGGCATTGCCCAGCACCAGGCTGAACCACAATAACTTCTCAGATATTGAGCAGATGCTAGGGATCTCCTGCCCCTCACTGTATGCTCCCAGCTCTCCCCAGGGCATCACTTACGGCAGTTGGCTAGAGGTCTCCAGTTCCCAACTGAGATGCCAAGCTCCAGACAGGCCTGGGCATAGGCGCTGAGGCCACGGCACAGACTAAGCCGCTCCCCACCGACCACACACAGGTCATATACACACTGCTCCAGGAAGGACCTGGGGTCCAGGGTGCCATGGCAGACAGCGAAGGGGCCATCAAGCTTGGTCAGCATGCCACAGAGTCTGTCGCCCTCATAGTGTTGGGCCTGGCCTGGGGTGCAGGCGGGACAGTTGTTCTGGCAGCCATCCTCACACAGGTAGTCCCCATCATCCAGCTTCCAGCTACTTGCGAACTCCACGGCGTCAGGAGCCAGATCCCCCTCAGGTAGGAGGAAGTCGTCTGCTGGGTCACCATTATAATTGCCACACAGCCCGCACACCTGGTCTTGGAAGCGCGCGGGCAGGCTGAGTGCCAGCTGGCAGTCCCAGTCATAAGTGACCACCAGCCCAAAGACCAGCTCCACCACGGCCCGTGGTCCGCTCTGGTACACACGCAGGCGGCCCTCGCTCAGGGAGACTGGCAGGCGCGAGCGCTGTTTGTCAACCTGCAGAGTGGGTGAGGAGGCGGTGGTCAGGCCCCTGTGCCATCTGGCCTCCAGCCCTCATCTCTGGGCCTCCCACCTGCTCCCCTGCTCTGGCTGCACTGGGACTCATTCTTTCTGCTACTGCCACCATCAGAGACCTTGCCTCTTGCAGTACCTGTGGCCTGAAATGTTCTTTCTGCAGCCGTGCATGTGACTCACTCCTGTACCTCCTATAAAATATTTGCTCAGTGAGGTGCCCCTCTGCCCAGTCACTGCACTGTCTGGGAAGTAAGCAGCACCTCTGCCCGGTCACTGAACCATCTGGGAGGTGAGGAGGGCCTCTGCCCGGTCACTGCACTGTCTGGGAAGTAAGCAGCACCTCTGCCCGGTCACTGCACCATCTGGGAGGTGGGGAGGGCCTCTGCCTGGCCCCCGCCACTCCCCCCTCATCTGGGAAGTGGGGAGTGCCTCTGCCCGGCCGCCCCACTCTCTGGGAAGTGAGGAGCGCCTTTTCCTGGTCGCCCCACCGTCTGGGAAGTGAGGTGCGCCTCTGCCCAGCTGCCCACCGTCTAGGAAGTGAGGTGCGCCTCTGCCCGGCTGCTGTGTGACCCTCCAAGTGTGAAGTGACAACCTTGTGTGTGATCTTTCTACCCTCCCCAAGTTTGCATTTTCAACATTAAAGTCTACTTTTTAATTAACAGTTTTAAATTCGAGAATATATTTCAAATGTATTTGCTCGAATGTCACTGACTCAAGCCTTCCCTGACTGCCCTATTTTATTATTTTATTTTATTTTATTTAGTTAGTTAGTTAGTTAGTTAGTTATAGAGATGAGATGTTGCTATGTTGCCCAGGCTGGTGTCAACTCCTGGCCTCAAACAATCCTCCTGCCTCAGCCTTCCAAAGTGCTGGAATTACAGGCATGACCCACGGGACCCAGCCTACAATCCATTTTAAATGGCAGTCTTGGGCCAGGTGCAGTGACTCACGTCTGTAATCCCAGCACTTTGGAAGGCTGAGGTGGGTGGATCACTTGATGTCAGGAGTTCGAGACCAGCCTGGTCAACATGGCGAAACCCTGTCTCTACTAAAAGTACAAAAATTAGCTGGGTGTGGTGGGGCACGCCTGTAATCCCAGCTACTCAGGTGGCTGAGGCAAGAGAATTGATTTAACTCAGGAGGTGGAGGCTGCAATGAGCCAAGATCATGCCAAACAGAGTGAGACTCTATCAAAAAAAAAAAAAAAAAAAAATGGCAGCCTCTCCCTACTCCATAACCTCCTTCCCTGCTTTCCTTTTTTTTTCTATAGCATCTGGCCTTCTAAAATATACTTCACAAATTGACCATGTTTATCATCTGTCTCACTCCATCAGAATGGCAGCTCCACAAAGACAGGGGTTTGGGTCTGCTTTGATCACTGCTTTATCCCCAATGCATAGAACAGGGCCTGGTGGAATCACAGGCACTCACTAAGTGAATTAAGTCACTGCTGCATTTAATAAACATTCACTGGGAACTCACTCTGTGCCTGGCCTTGGGCTGGGAGATCCTGGGAATACCAAGGTAACAGAGACAGCCCCAGGCCCTACCCTTATGGGGCTCCCAGTCCACTGGGAGAAAGAGACCCATCACCAGACAGTGGGAGCTCAGAGGGGTCAGGGCAGAGGTGGGAGAAGCACAGGCAGAAAAGTCAAGGCCAGGATCAGAAAGGCCCAGGGGACAGGTCAGGGATGGGATAGGGGAGGTACAGGCTGAGGGTTCAGAGCTGGGATAGTGGGGAGATAGGAGGCTGTGAAAACCTAGACAAATGGCCAGATTTAACCTTGCTGGTCAGAGAAAGCTTCCCAGAGGAAAGAATAGTTGTGCCGAGCCTTAAAGGACCAGTAAGAGAGAGAGAGTCAGGAAAACCGGGAGGGAGTAGGATATTTCCATTCAAATGTCCTGAGTGGACAGAGATCCTGGCCAGTCCATCTGGCTTGGTGTTATGGACTCAATATCTGTGTCTCCTGCAAAGCCCACATGTTGAAATCTTAACACCCAACATGATGGTATTAAGAGTGGGGGGAGGCCTTTGGGAAGTGATTAGGTCATGAGGGTGGCACCTTCACGAATGGGATTAGTGCCCTTATGACAGAGGCCTCAGAGAGCTCTCGGGTCCTCTTTCCACTGTGTGAGGATACAGGGAGAAGCAGGCCATTTGCAACCTGGAGGAGCACCCTCACCCTCACCTGGCAGTGCTGGTGACCTCATCTTGGACTTCCAGCCTCCAGAACTGTGAGAGACAAGGTTGTGTTGTTTGTAAGCCTCCCAGGTTCTGGTGTTATAGAAGCCTGAAGTCTGACTAAGAACCAGGAGATAAGAACTATGTCTCTCTGTGCCCTGGGGCATCTTTTTTTTTTTTTTTTTTGAGATGGAATCTTGCTCTGTCACCAAGGCTGGGCTGCAGTGGCATGATCTTGGCTCACTGCAACCTCTGCCTCCCAAGTTCAAGTGATTCCCTCACCTGGGATTACAGATGCCTGCCACCACGCCCAGCTAAATTTTGTATTTTTAGTAGAGATGGGGTTTCACCATGTTGGCCAGACTGGTCTTGAACTCCTCACCTCAAGTGATCTGCCCCCGCAATCCCCCACCCCTCAGCCTTCCAAAGTGCTGTGATTACAGGCATGAGCCACTGTGTCCAGCCTTTTATTTTTTTAATTAATTTTTAAAAATTTAAATTAGAGATGGGGTCTCACTATGTTGTCCAGGCTGGCCTGGAGCTCCTGGCTCAAGCAATCCTCCCACCTCAGCCTCCCAAAGTGCTGGGATTATAGGTGTGAGCCACTGCACCCAGCCTGGGCATCGCTTTCTTACTCTTTCCTTACACATTCTCTGAGCTGTGCCAGAGCTGAGACTTGAAGTGGAGAAAGTCTTAGCCAAGAGGATGGAATATGAAAAAAGGAGCCACAGGAGAGAGGACAGCACGAGCAATGGCCCAGAGAGAAGACAGAGCATTCACTCATTCCGGTTCCCAGCAAAGCCTCTGTGAGTTCCACTGCATGGCCTGCTCTGTGCCAGCTGGTGCTTTAGACACTGCAGTGATGGAGACAGCCATGGACCCATGCTCAGAGCTCTCAGTCCAGAATGGCTACTCAAATCTGTCTCTCCCCTAAGTCCAGTGATCTCCATTTTAATTTTTCTATTTTTTTATTTATGTATTTTTTTGAGACAGTTTTGCTCTGTCACCCAGCCTGGAGTGTAGTAGCAGCATCATAGCTCACTGCAGCCTCGACCTCCTGGGCTCAAGCCATCTTCCTGCCTCAGCCTCCCAAGTAGCTGGGACCACAGGCAGGCGCCACCACATCCAGTTATTTATTTTTTTTTCTTTGGTAGAAATAGGGTCTCCCATTTTTAAATGACACAAATAATATTCGTGCATTACAGAAAACAAAATGCACATGAGCAAAAGTGAGAAAAGGAAAATCACCCTGTAGGCACACACATACAAATGTATAGATTCTGTTGAGTTTTTTCCTACCTTTAGATATATTTACACTTAAAAAAAAAGGACCATGCTGAAGTCATTATTTCATTAACCCCTCTCCTAACAATGTCTTGTGAGTATCCTACTATGATTCTGACAGTAGCTCTACACCTGATGGCTTTGTCAAGTCAGTGACGTCTGTGAGGATCTGACAAAGAAAAAAGTAAGGCCGGGTGCGGTGGCTCCTGCCTGTAATCCCAACACTTTGGGAGGCCGAGGTGGGCGGATCACAAGGTCAGGAGATCAAGACCATCCTGGCTAACACAATGAAACCCCGGCTCTACTAAAAATACAAAAAAATTAGCCGGGCTTGGTGGCATGTGCCTGTAGTCCCAGCT